TAAAATTCTAAGAAGATTAGGTGATGTAGATTGCGAAGTAGAAAAAATTGGAGGGAAGAAAAAAGACACTGTTCATGTAAGTAGGATACTACCCTTTTACGACCCGTGGACCGCAGAGTCCCCAATTTTGGACGACCTACTAGAAGAATCAGAGGAATCTCACACAAGTGACGTCGAAAACAAGGAACACGAATAAAAGTCATTAATTTGTACAAAATAGCCGCGCGAATAGAGTCCGGACTCACCCCCTTAGACACTTATACCAGTAGTATTTGGCACATAGGTTATAAGAATTAATTTAAAGCAAATTAGTCTAGCAGCATAGAAAATCATGATATGGCGACGGCTGAGGAGGAACCGTTGACGAACGTGAAGCCTGAGTCGCAAACACGAAGATAATAATCTGTATTATAAAAGTATAATTCTGGTTATTTTATAATAAGTTAGGGGAACCTGGGGAAATAATAGAATAATATAGGTATAAAAATCTTAAATATTAATAATAAATTACTACGGTCCTGTGGATAGAAACTAAGATGCTAACATTAAATTATACAAAATATGGTTTTCGTACTTCAAAACAAAAAGGGAATGGATTCAGACGAGAGTGCATAAACCATATTTTATTATTATTTTAATTTAAAGTGTAGGAAAATAAACGAAAACCATTATTATTAAGGAGTTACCAAAAGTAAAATAAATCACAAATAATCAAAAATATATGTATATTAAGGATCTTCTTAATCTTATAACATACGTGACAAACACAATATGTCGGGCAAGGGTCTGTATGTCTAGAACATGATGTCCAGGAGCACAAGGAGGAGGCCACACGTCCACGGAGGAAACCCTAATCCAGGCAAATTCGAACCTAAGTCCCGGAAAGATACACAGGAGGAATATCAAACATAAAGGGGAAAAATATAGTAAAACCTACCTTGGATTCGGGAACCCTGCGATGCAGTAGCCGCAAAATCCTCTTTCTCATAAACTTGTCTAGAGGAATGGGAGAAGAAAAAATAAAGAAAATAATAATAATAATAATAATAATACAAAGACGAACGAAACTTAGACTCACCATTCATGTTCATAGCAAACAACAAAAAATTGATGACCTACTTACGCATAAATCAATAATTGTCGCAAAAAACGCTTACAAGGCTTATATTTTACAGCAAATCGTTAGGCAGTGGCAACAACAGAAAAAATCAACCAGGGGCGGAACAAGGATCAAGGGACCACAAACATCAGATAACAGTCCGCAAGCCACCACGTCTGCCAGCAAACAAGTGCTACAGCCGACAAAAGCACTACAACTGTCCACAACCAAGGTGAACAGTCCGCAAACCACCACGTCTGCCAGCAAACAACTGCTACAGCCAACAAAACCACTACAAGTGTCCACGACTAGGGCAAACAATCCGCAAGTGGAACAGCCGACAAAAGCACCACGACAGTCGACGAAGCACTATCCACGCAGAAGTAGGCACAAAACCATACCAAGCACACACGTGAAGTCTAGCACATTTTCCAGAACAATACCCTACATGAAGTACATGGAACATAAGAAGATAGTACAGCCATAACAGACCACCCAGACGAAGACAACGATCCGAACGAAATAGGAGCTCTAATTTTAAGTTTTTGAATTGTAAACCCGTATGATGTTCTTCCGTTGGCATTGGGGACCAATGCTTTCATGGGAGGGGCAAATGTCAACTCATAAACGTACACAAGCCCACGCATTACATAAATTAAGTAAATTTCCAAAGGACGTCACTCCGGACTATTAAAAACAGACCGATTTTGCTTATGCCAGCAATAATTTCAATATAATTTCACGCATTGCGGCAATGCAAAGCAAGGATGGTCTGGACTGCTTTATGCCTGATAAGGTACGAGCCTAAAGACCTGCCTTCTTAGCTGGGTACGACTAGGTATAGTCGAGACTGTGAAACTTTGTGGATGAAAGTCTCGTCTATAGCAGCCGTGTCACAGCGTCCCCAAGTTTAGACCTACGAGAACTATGCCCTTAGGGGGCCCGTTCTTTTAGTGCATCTTGGGTTACATTAAACATTAAACATTCTTACATTTCGAGTTGACAATCGAAAACATGGTCCACCAGGGACGAACATCTGCGGTGTTAGGATTTTGGTAAATCTCCTTGAACTATAAGGTGTAATTAAGGTTTAGTAATAAAACAAATTAAATATTCGTGGTGGTATTCCTTCCCCCCATATCCTCTCTTTTCAGATAAACCCTTAGTGGACGCAGCCAAGCGAAGTAAAAGTGGTGGCACCGCTGACCACAACCAACCTAAGCGTGACAATATTTTAGAAAATTCTAACCTCAAAACATCAAAAAAAAAACATAATAAATAAATGTCATCGTAAAATATACGTCACCGTCAGCCAAAATATCGTAAAATTCAAAAATCCACTTATTTTTATATGGTAGATTTTCAACATTTTGTGAAAAGAAAACTGGCAACGCAGCGAGCGTCTGCATCTCTTGCGTGCACGCAAGTAGAGATGCACACGTCCAATGTCAATTTCAAATAAAGCTATTTGCACATAACAAGTTGCGTATACGAACAAATTGATGCAACTTTGCGTACACGCAAATAACGTCATTTGCGATTGGCAATTGGTGCACGGCTTATTTGAAATGCACTGCTAGCGATATGACTTTGCACCAATCGCAACTTTTGCACATGGGGGTATACCGATCGCAAGTCCATTTACGCATACGCAAGTCATGTCAATTCGTCAATTTATTTTAATTTTGATAGTTCACTCCACGTTCACTCAAATAAGTTCGAATATTGTGGTGATTTTTATAAATATGAATTTTAATAACGTTATTAAGAGGCCTGGGTACCTCTGTGCGACGGGTTAAACTATGTCTTAATTTACGTCTAAAGTATTGGATCAAAATCAATGAAATTTGGTGGGATGATAGATGATGAATCACAGAAAAGTGGAATGTGATTTTTCATAGAAAAAAATAATTCTAAAAATTATGTCACCTCTCAAAAAAAAAAAGATTGGAACATAAAATACTTCTCACATTTCTATGTTAAAATACTAACATTTTTTACCAATATAATTTTTTTGTTAAACGCGTAAATTTCTTGTGAAACATAAAAATAAAAAAAATGTATTATTTCGGACCAATTCATGTAATCGCAACTACATATTCTATGGCATGGCAACACTGGGAACTGTCCCGCCAACCCCCGGCTGGCGCCTCGAAACCATCCAGGGAATAAAATATTATTTATTCTTATCTGAATAATTGTTTTGACTGGCCCGTGCCGTCGAAGAGTTTTTGCATTCCCTTTTGTGTTTTGGAAATAAAATGGGTAAATTTTCACTAAGGCCTGATAGGAAAAGATTACGTTTATCTACTAAACGTAAAAATCGACGACTTGCTATGAAAAAAAGGTAGGTGAAATGGTAGAAGATAATTATTACATTACCTATATAGGTAGTCTAATTGTAATAATTTCCAGAATTTTTATTCAACTATTTTTTGTAGGAAAATTAATTTGCAGTTATTGGTTTCTTCTGAGGACGGAAATAATTTGGGTGTTGAATTTACTTTGTCTCAATGGTAAAATGATATTTTAAAATCATAAACAATAAAGTACCTAGGTAAATATTTTTTATAAATTTTCAGCACCAATAACAATAATGACAATGACAATAATATTACTGATGCTGGTCCATCAAATTCAAAAGAAAACTCAATGGAGATAAATTCTGCGGAATCCACAAGGTAAATTTACTTCGTCACAAAAATATCAGATTTTTTTATTTGAAAAACAACAAGCATTATATCGTTTCTCTTAGAGCTGGTTTATTCACCTACTGTAAACTTAAATAATTCGAGGTATGTTTATTACAGAGAAATTAGAAACAAATGTTGTTACTTAAAAAGACAAGCTTTACCTATCAATTGTTTCTTTTAGGGTCAAATTATGGACCAACTGGTTGTTACCTAGCAGGTACCTACTTTCTATTCTCTAGTGCATAAAAAGTACCTGCTAGGTAACAACCAGACGTTTACCAGTCAGTCCCTAATTAGGCCCTTAGGGACGGTTTATTTTCCTTTCAATAAACTGTCAAATAATGCAATCTTACGGATAAAACGCAATCTGAAATTCCACTGGTCGGCTAGTTATCCACCGACCAATAGCATTGTAGATTGGTTAATTTATCTTGCAGATAGTTACCAGCAAGTTTATACGAAGATGAATTAACCGGGCCTTAGTCAAAGATAATTTGTATATGTATTATAAAGATATTTAATAATGTATATAAATATAGGACGAAAAGGTTCCTACTTAAGCTTATTTTTCATTTCTATATAATTTTTTAGCAATTTATCGGATTTATCAAAAATTCAAGAAACTATTGAAGATGAACCCTCTGTAAACTTAGATAATTCGAGGTATGTTTCTACATAATAGCAAATTCAAAGGCTACTTATTTACAAATTTTTACACAAACCATTTACAGGGTGTCCCAGAACTGGCACCACACCCATCAGATGCTTCTGTTCAGAGTCTTTCAGCAAAGACTGAACAAGGGGCTAATTTTTGTATTTTTGAAAAACCCCCAAAAAAGGAAATAATAAAATTTATTTTTTCCAAAAATATTAGGCATAAAAACCTTAGAGCAGTTAAGTTCTTTGGTGGAAGGAGTAAGAACATGGAGTTGGGAAATGAAGTCATTTTTTCCAGGTATTTTGAGATCCAAAATAATGACAGTATAGCTAATTCAATGCTTTACCTGTCATTTGGTGTACAAATACCTGCTAAAAACTGGCTTCACTTTAGTTTCATAGCAGAATGGCGCGTTCCTGCTCCTCATGTCCATAGGACAGCGCTTTACCTGCTCTAAGATAAAAACGGAAAACTTTGAATTGTACTTACATACTTAATACGGACCTGACGCGCGCGGCACCAGTTAGGGGACTCCATAATATGTTTATTTGCGAAACATTATTATTTATCCTCAAATGAAATTTTAGTTATGTAGGAGCTGACGCAATTGGTGGAAAAAGAATATTTGATGTTGCCCATCTATTTCGCCAAATTCTAAATTCAGAGAGACACGCACTGTATGATTGCACTTTAGCTGATATGAAACTAGTTCGAGAAATAAGACATGGTCTACACAGTACATTTATCCTCGAGTGCAAAATGTGTTTATGTATTAGGCAAATCACTACTGATGAAAAGTCTGATACAATAAACTCGAATTCAGCTATGGTATTGGGTGCCATTTCAACTGGGATAGGATATTCGCAAATAAATGAGCTTGCAGCTTCTCTCAATATGCCTTTTATGACATAAAACCTTTAATCGTTATCATGAATCTGTAGGCGGATATATCAGAGAATCACTATGTACATGCATGGAAAATGCCGCAGCCAAAGAAGCTGAGTTAGCTCTAGAAGAAGGCGACGTAGATGAGAACGGTATTACATGTATCACAGTCGTTACTGATGGCGCTTGGGCTAAACGCTCTTACAATGTAAATTATGATTCTATGTCTGGTGTGGTAAGTAATTTCTCTTGAGATATCTGTGAATATATATATAATATATATATATTTTTTTGTTGTTGATTTTTACGAACTTTTTTATCCTTTTTTATCGAGTGGAATATTTATTTTAGGCTTGTATAATAGGTTACAGAACGGGTAATCTTTTATTTCTTGGTATAAGAAATAAATATTGTTCATTATGTTCTTATTATGAAAATAAAGGGCAAGATATCCCTATACACAAATGTTACAAGAATTGGCAAGGAACATCAACATCTATGGAGACAGACATCATAGCAGAAGGTTTCAAAAACAGCATAAAACTGCATAAATTAAAATATACCAAAATGGTCGGAGATGGCGATTCCTCTGTATACAGAAAATTAATCCAAATAAAACCTTACGGAAACACATTGGTCCAAAAAGTTGAATGCAAAAATCATTTATTGCGGAATTTTGCTAAGAAAATTAGGGAAATATGCAGTATGTACTTATACCTACAGTTTTTTTAATAATAGGTGCTCGGTAAAATCTGGAACCCATTTACTATCTATGACCTATAAGCGTTGATAAAATAATATGTATTTATATAGGTTTCTATTTTAGACAAAAACCGAAGCAATAAAAATATAGCAGTTTCTATGGCTTTACGAAAAGAAATTTTTAGCAAATTTATGCGACTAAGAACAGCGATTACAAAGGCCACTGCATATCGAATCTCAGAAAATAATACTATTGATGAAAAAATAAATTTATTGAGAGGAGATATAAGTAATTCTCCTAGTCACGTATTTGGTGAACATTCTAAATGCAAAGAATTAAATTACTTCAAATGTAATAATTTGAATGAAAAAAATTTAATTCCTGCTATGAAAGAATGTGGTATTTATGACGACATTATGCTGGCTTTAAAGAGATTGCTGGATAATACGAGTAGCCTTATATTGAACATGGATAACAATTTGGCAGAACATTACAACAGTGTGGTTTGTAAGTTCGTCGGAGGTAAAAGAGTTAACTTCTCTCTTCGGGGTGCTTATCAAACTAGATGTGAGGCAGCAGCATTGTCGTTTAATTCTAAAGGGGATTACTACAGGAACATCTATAAAACTGCAACAGGTATAATGGGAGATAAATTTATTTTTTCTACTACCGTACGTAAAGTACGCACTTTACGCACTATTCAGAAGAAGTAAAATTTCACTTCACGCACTAGTGCTTAAAGTAATTCACTTCACACACTAGTGCGTAAAGTAATGTTAATGACAGATGTCAACACTGTCAATTTGGCATTTTTCTGGTAAATTACTTCACGCACTAGTGCGTAAAGTGAAAATTCTTCACGCACTAGTGCGTAAAGTATTTGTCCAAATCTATTTTTTTACACATATTTGATTGGTAGTAGAAAAATTTTTGTATGCGATACGTGCGTAAAGCACCTTTTTTCACTCATGTGATTGTCGCACTGGCCTTCGACTCGTGCGTCAAAATTCACATTCGTGAAAAAGGGTTCACTTTACACACTTGTTGCATAAATAATTATTAAATTTTATTATAACATATTATCCAATCACTTTCCACAGGTAATAGTCCGTCATTTTATACAAAAAAATATGTAGGATTGAAGAAAAAAATAGCATTAAAAGTGACACAAAAAAAAATATTTAAAAAAAAAACAACAAAAAAAATTGGAGCGGGAACTGACAAAGATTATGGACCAAATGCAAATTATATTCCTTTAGACGTCAAAAGCCAAGAATATTTGGAAAAAGCTGAAGATTTTCTTAATAATCTTAAGAAAACTGCAGAGGAGATCCACTGCATAGACAGAAACACAATCGGGCAGTCAGCCAACCCCTGCTGGATCCAAGAAAGGGCGGTTAGGATAACAGCTTCAAATTTTGGTAAAATTTGCAAGATGCGTCCACAAACATCAAGAGCAACCACAGTGAAAACTTTGCTATATGGAAACTTTCATGGTAATACAGCCACAAGATACGGCAACGATAGTGAAGCACGCGCTATTGCTGAATTTGAAGACAAATATAAAGTCAAAATTTCTCAATGTGGATTGTTTATAGATAAGAAAAATTATTATTTAGGGGCTAGTCCGGATGGATTAATTGGTGATACCCAATTAATGGAAATAAAATGTCCATATTCCATCTGTAATATGAATCCAGCGGAAGCCATCAAAGAAAAAAAATTAGCATTTGCTGAATTCGTGGATAATGAATTTCACTTGAAACGGAATCATAACTATTACTACCAAATCCAGGGCCAACTGGCAATAGCTGATAAGCAGATGTGTTATTTTGTAGTTGGGAGTCCTCATGGGATGGTAGTAGAAGAGGTATCTTGCTATATTATCTTTTGTGGAACTTACTTATTTAAATAATTATTTTTTTATAAATTTTTCGAGACTTGCAATTCTGGAATGAAAAATGTATTCCTAAATTGAAATGCTTTTATGAAAATTTTGTTTTGCCCGAATTGATAGACCCCCTTTATCCAAAAGACCTGCCGATACGAGACGAAATTGTGTTCCGAGATGCTCTTCTTATTGACACCATATAACGGGGATAGTTACCAAACTCATCCAATGCAAAGCATTTTTTTGCAGACGTCAAAAAATGACAACATTTTCACACTCATTTCTGTGCGAAAAATCCCACAATGGTTTTATTGGAAATTGAACGACAAAGTTTATTGATGAACTAGCGTATACCCAGGGTGCGCTACTACCCTAAAAAAAGAATTGCATTTTGTTAATTTTTTTCATTTACCAAATAAATTCTCCGCCCTTGGTTATTCTATAATTTGAATATGGCTACGGTGCGCCAATGAACTTTTGCATGAATATTTTGAGACAGAGCCAGCCGAGCGTCGCGGAGTCTCTGGCGAAGTGGCCGGCAGCTAGCGGTGTTGCCAAATTGTGTGTAAGTGTAACTCGTGAACTATAAAAGGCGCTGCGATCGAATCTCAATTACGCCAGAGGTACCCAGGCCTCTTAACGAAAACCTCGCAGTAAGGCCGTGATTCTATGCCCTTGTGCCCTTTGTCCAGGGCCGCCGCTACCATGTGTGCAAAGTGTGCGCCGCCCATAGGGGCGGCCAAAGCAGACTCCACTCTGATAATACTTTTTTTCCAAACAACGAAAAAAGTAACTATATGCAACTTCTATAAATTTTGTTAAATATTAGTACCTATCGTGGCGGCTCGTCGGGGGAAGCATTGCCTTCCCTGCCGTACAAGATTTTCCAAATGCTTTTTTGAAGGCTTAAAATAAAGGCACCCGAAAAAAATTCTGCTTCCGGCAGCGCCTGCCGCGGACTTAACCACCACCGGTATAGAATCAAGAAACCCAGGTAGGAAGGGGGCGGCCAATATTGAGTTGCACACGGGCGGCCAACACCTTAGCGGCGGCCCTGCCTTTGTCCGTAGTGACCGGGCTTTCGTAAAAAAAATTCGGCTAAATTGAGCTACTTTTGAAGACCTATGATGCTGAAGAGGGCTATTTAATACCGCTGAGGCTTCCTGTCACATTTTTTTACTTGACTTTTTGGTAAAGGTTCTCTCACAAAAGGGACAAGAAGCCTTTTTTCCTCCGCATCGGCGTTCGCGGAGCTCTTTTTCCAACCTACAGGAACAGGGCTTGGTGAAATAGTATTAATTTTTTTATGGTAAATTGGTAATGAAGAAGTATGAAACATATTTTGAAAAATTCTAACATCAAAAAATCATGATAAATAAATGTCATCGCAAAATATACGCCAGCGTCAGCCAAAATATCATAAAATTCAAAAATCCACTCCTCATTTTCATATGGTGGATTTTCAACATTTTATAAAAAGAAAACTGGCAACGCGGCGAGCGAGTGCATCTTTTGCGTGCACGCAGAGAGAGATGCACATGTCCAATGTCAATTTCAAATAAAGCTATTCGCACATAACAAGTTGCGCATACGAACAAATTGATGCAACTTTGCGTGTACGCAGATACTTGCGATCGATTTCAAATAAAGCCCCCTGTTTCGACCTATTACAAAACCGAAAATAGCGAAAAAATCAAATACCTGGAAGTATGCTCTCTGTACACCTGGGTTTGCAAGTACAGGAAATTTCCTATCGGTCAACCGGATATTTCCGCCGGGGGGGATTGCACAGAATTGAACTTGCAAGAAACAGAAGGACTAATCAAAGCCCAAATTCCACCACCACAGAACTTATACCATCCTGTACTGCCGCATCGAATCAATAATAAACTCATGTTTGTTTTATGCAATAAATGTGGAGAAACAATGAATAAAGGAGAAGAATGTGAGCATAATGAAAAAGACCGGGCGATAACGGGGACTTGGGTTATCGATGAAGTTTTGAAAGCCATATAATAAAGCTATAAAATATTAGTTTTATGAAATTTGGCGGTATAAGGTGATACAATTTAATCGAGAAACAAACACGGCAGGTCTGTTTACAGATATGATGAATAAATTTATTAAAATTATGCAGGAAGCATATAGCGTTCGTTGTTATAATCTAACTTAGTAGGGATTCTCCGGCTAGCTCAAAAATAGAATAGTCCTACTAAGTTATTGCATGAGACTCTAAGGGCTGTAATTTCTTGTTCTGTTGGATTATAGTAAACACCTCAATGAAAGACAGAAATAACATTTACTCAAGTAGATACTCGAGTAGATATACAGGGTGTCCCAGAATATGTGGGAAATCTCTCGGATTCAGATAGAACACAAAAAAATAACATGACAACTTCCTATAAAAAAAAATTCCTACTGCCCCCCCCTACGAAGTTACGTGCCCCTAAAGGACGCCTCTGAAAATCGTTTTTTTGTTGATAACTATCAAAATACTTCGTGTAATTTTTTTTTCTTTTAATATGATGGATATTAGATAAGACCCCTTAAAATGGACACTTTCAAACACACTTGGCCAATCTAGTTTGCCAGGCACGGACTAGCTTTAACACAATAATGCTAATTTTTTTTACACCCTGTATGATATAGGCATAGCAATAATATTTTTAGATTGTTTCAACCTTGAACTAGAAAAAAGGTACTCTTATTCGATGTCAAAAAAATGAGCTGGTTTCGAGAAAACTCTGTTTTTGTGTATTAATGGTTTTTTATTAAATAATTTTTTATGTCGACTGAACATGAGTCCTTCTAATCTTATGCATTCCATACCTATTTTAATAAAATATTGTTCGACTTTCGACAATGCTTCAATATTAGGCCTTATTTCGCGAAAGTGAAAATTAATCCTTTCTACTAATATTTCCTCAGTTTTATTATTGCGTTAAAGCTAGTCCGTCCCTGGCAAACCAGATTGGTCAAGTTTGTTTGAGAGGGTCCATTTTGGAGAGTCTAACCTAGTATCCATCATATTAAAAGAAAAAAAATTACACGAAGTATTTTGAAAGTTATCAGGGGCACGTAACTTCGTAGGGGGGGCCGTAGGAATTTTTTTTTATAGGAAGTTGTCATGTTATTTTTTCGAGTTCTATCTAAATCCGAGAGATTGCCCACATATTCTGGGACACCCTGTATATTATTATATGAATCAAATAGTACATAGTACAGGAAATGTGAGAGTAGTTGGTACCTACAATTTAATATAAACTGATAAGAAAACTTGTTACTTCAATTAAAAGGTGCACCCCATAGATTTAATAAATTATTCACTCTCGCTGACATCAGTAATACCCTAAAGTTCAACTCCTATAATGATAAATTAGGAATCAAAAATACCTACTTATATGTAAAACTTTGGCGAGCTAAGCTCCCACTTGAATATTATAAACAATTAAACAAGATCCGTACACTTACGGTTAATACCTAACTTAGACAAGTACTTGAAGTTTTCTAATTTTCCCTTGATTCGAGAAGAAGAATAGCTAAAGTTATCTTACTTGATACGTCGTTCACAATTACTTCTAGTTGACTTGTGTGTGTGTGTGTGTGACTGCGTGACTGGGTTTCAAACCAGAATAGGCCTGACGGAAGAGGATTGCAACTTGTAACTTCGCTGAAGCAGTCCTCAACTCGAAGCTTGATATACGAATTCAAAACGACGACACGGGCGTTACGTGGATTGGCCCCTCGTCTAAATTACTTGTGAATTCAACACTTGAAATTTGAAAACTTGGAATCTTGAAAAATCCTTGTAGTGGTGCCTCTCTCCTAACTCGGACAACGTAGTTGCCGGGTGGCAAGAAATCCTATAAGAAGTAATAAAAAGACTAAGCCCAAATTAAAGTAAGCAACACGTGCCAACTTACCAAAGTTCCAACGAAATCCCTACTACAGGTAAAACAGTTCCAACAACGTGCAACAAAGCACCGGCAAAGCAGCCCCAACGAATTTAACAGAACTATTTTATTTGTGTGCTCAGTAAAATAAATCCCACAATGGATGGACACTTGGCCAAAAATTTACTTGCACATGGACTTTGGATTTCTAAAATGGGTCTAGGAACAAGATGTCGGTGGTTCTAGAAGGTTTCGAGAAGAAGAAAGATTTTTGTCAGGGTTCCAATGAAGAAACCTAACCTGGTGAGAACATGCGCCATGCACACGAAATAACGTCAAGAGAAAACAAGGTTGCTACAGCGAGTAACAACACCAATGGAGTAGCAACAGAACTAATAGGGTAGAAACAAATTCGAGCATTGCACTTAGTGCACCTAGTTCAAAATATTGTTCCCTGTTCCGAGTATTTCGTGTAGGTACTTGGCGAATCGATACGATCTAGTGTAAGTCAACCCGCGAACGCAGCGCCGATGACGTACAAATACAATCAGCTGATGATTATTGATATCAGCAAGCCAACCAAAACAAACTTAGAAAATCCCAAGGTAAGTTTTGTATTATAAAATTATAGTCAATATATGAAATATTTCTAGATAAGAAAGATTATCCCACTCATGTGTTAGAAATCCCATAAGGCAAGTGACGATTTTCAGAATTACAGCGAAAATTCTCTTTTCCATTTGTTTAACTAGAGAGAATTACAGCGATAATTCTCCCATGTTATTGTATACATGGTTGTCATGCTAATTTTTGATACAAACAAACGGTTCCTGATAGCAACCATTTATTTATATTGATTGTTAAGATGTTCAAATCGTTTAATACATATTTATTTCCATATTTTTTGCATTCTCGTACGTGAAATAATCCTCCAAATACCACTTGAGCTTTAAAATGAACCAGATAATTTTTCACTCATGCGTGTTTTCTCTGCAAATTTCACTCGTCCTACGGACTCGTGAAATTATAGCAAACACGCAATCGTGAAAAATTATCGGTAATTTTGAAGCTCTCGTGGTATTATCCCCGAAAATACCGAAGTGCAAAAAGAAAGCCATCCCTACTCTCACC